TTATTTTTTAACAATTTTATTTAATTCTGATTTTCCATTCAGGGTACCTGAACCAATAGATTATTGATTTGTTTTTTGAAAATAGTAAGGACCAATCCCTTTTATAGCTATTTTTTTATTATAAAATAAAAAGAAAGACGATGGTTTATCATTAAAACCATGCGGTGCTTCGATGGACTGAAATGTAATGAACATGGCTGAAAGGGCCAAAGGTTTCATTATTATTTTTCCAAAATCTTCTAAGTTACTACATAAAATTTGGTAAATTACCATATTTTGTATTTTTGAAAATTACCACACTTTACATCAAACATCAAATATAATGTATGTGTGAACATAGTCAGACATTTTTGATTTAAACCTGAAGAGTAATTTTTTATGAGAGTGTATGTACTTCCTAATACATCCGAATTGTTCACGTTCAATTTTCATTCATAAGTAGGAACGAGATTATTTGAAATCAAATGTTAAAATAGTTTTCGAAACCATATAATTTTTATTCATGTAAAATGCACCGTATTATGCCTATTAATTACGAGTAAATAAATAAATGGATTTGAAATAAAAATGTTTTCGGAACATCACAGTGTTTTAAAAGTTCTAAAAGTAGCTCTGAATAACAAATTAATACGACAAACTTAGAATTATTGTTAGATTAATTCTGGTATCTTCCGATTATAATGTATTATATCTATATGAATAATTACACGAAAGTATAGTAACGAAATAACAACATGGGGCTAGTGATGGCGTCCTTCAATCCTTCCTAATAATCCACTCATATAGTTGGAGCAGTGCCCTCCAGAGGGACAGATCGTAATATTATGTTACGATATAATGATATAATACAAAAAATAAAAAATAAACAAAATAATAATGTAAATTATATATGTTATCCTTTTATTTGCAGTGATTCACAGATTATATTTTACGTTAATTAAGCTATGAAGATTAAATCGCATTATTATTGAAGGAAGAAAAAAATATGATATAGTGAAGTAAAATCCGATTTGTGGAGATAAAATTATTAATCGCAAAGAATTCAATTACTTTGTTTTTAATAGTACTATGTACACCTATTTATTAGAACTGAAAAAATAAATTAAAGGTCACGTAAAATGATTTTTTTTAGGGATAGTACAATTTATAATAAGTTAATGATAAACAGAATAAAAAGTAATAAGAAACAGTTATTTCAGGACCATGTAAATGACCTATGAAATATTTAGTTACTTTGGTAGAAGTTTTTTAAGGCCACTTAATGTACTTACAGATGTTGTCTCCAAGGATATATATATAAGCCCTTATAGCTTAACAATTTATTTAATTTTTAACGACGTTTCGAGCAGTTTCCTCATTTCCAAGTTACCTACAAAGAGTCACCAAAAAACATTGTTAGTAATAAAGTAGTGCCAATACTACCTTGGAAGCTTACCAAAACTTCATAATTTAAAAATCTTTCTATTATATTGCTGTATTATATCTTATTGCTGGTCTATAAAAATTGTTATTGACTATACTACAAATTAACAAAAATGTAAATATTTTAATTTTGAAATAATCGAACGATGAAATCTTTTTTATTTATTTTTTTATTGACAAGCATAATACAAATATGTGAATAAAATGGAACATGATAATTTAAATAGTTATAAACCAGAAAGATATGCTTATATATATATTCTTGGAGACCTATAAAATGTTAAATGTCACTCCAGTATAATTTATATGCAGGCGAAGTACAACTATACATGCTATTTCACATTTCCGACATGCCTGTGGCGTCTCGTAATCTCCAGGATGAAATTGATTTTTGGAGTCGCTGAGTTCGATAAAAATAATTTTAAAAATATGATAATAATAATAATATAAGTTATACAAGAAATTGTATGATAATGTGCAAATTAAACTTCAAATAAGTTCAAATAAAAAAGAAATTATTTTCAGTCAGAATATTAGAATACTTGACTGTTGACACTTATTTATTTGACTTATTTTAGAAAAATTGCCGATAGTGAAGTAATAAACACAATAAATTTATCTAAGCTAATCTTATAACGAGACGATGGCGCTATGTATATGACGAACTCGCGTACCACTTTCTGAACTGTTCAAAGAATAGATGAATTTTTATCTCTATGAATTTCAAATATTCTTTATGCGGAGGCTCAGCGAGATTTGTTAGATCTCACATATACCCTTAAAGCTTAAAACTTTGTCTGCATTTTTTTGTATTTAGCAATTCTTCTAAAAAGAGAAAGAAAAAAAACCTAAATAACCTGGTTACTTTGACAATTTGGTCAAAGGCCACCTTTTTTCTCGACTTTGTGCTCAAGTTATCTTACGATTTAAGTGGAAAGCAAATGGGTATTTACGAGTTTTTAGTACCTAACTAAATAGACTAACTTTGCCGACCCCCAGATTGAAAACGTCCTAATTTCGATAATTTTCATAAATAAAATATCAGTAGGTTACGATATGATGAAGGTATTTACGAAGTTTCAGGCGGATATATTTAAATATTAAAACCATCGTGTTTGCGGACAAAGATTAGTTCATTGTTTATTTAAGATTTATAATGAACATTGTTATCCGTCTATCACACAGCTATATTTGTATTAGATAGTATAACTATTTCAATAAACTAAATTAAAACCCTTATTTGGTCCTAAAGCACTAGCGGATTCAGGATTTAATTTTGGAGGGGAGCTTCAGCCCAAAAGTTTTTCTTTTTCATATACATAAAATGATAATTAATATGAAAAAAAAAGAAAGAAATTAATTACCTATATGAACTGGTGTTTAAGTGGTTCTTGAAGTCCTATTAAATGTAATTAAACGAACAAGAATACTTTAAGAGATAGTTTTAAATTTTTTTTTTTTAAAACATAATTATATTTTACCATTTTGGAGGAGAGGAGGGGCTACAGCCCAAAAGTCCCCCTCCCTCCGTAGATCCGCCTGTGTCCTAAAGTATAATTGGTCTTCATCTGAAGTATATGTATATACCATGTACAATGTATATACCAAGATTCCTAAGTTCCAAAATATACTATCTAAATCAAAACATTACGATACTTTTCAGGTTAATTACTGTAATGAAGATAATTTAAACGGCTATACATGAATAGCCTGAAGGATGAATCACTAATGTTCCATTCTATGTAAAAGAGCATGGAATATTCAGTACCGTACAACATAAACAGTTTTGTGTATAAACATCCTGCCTCGGTGCACCGTCTTAGTGAATTAATTGTCCAAATTTTGAAATATGTTTGCTAAAAAAGAAAAATTTATTAAATAATAATTTTGTATATCAAAAATAGGTAATTAAAAAAAATATATAAAATAATAAAACAAAACTGATTTGTGATATTTATATATCAGTTTGGATCTGGTTATTATTTAATTCTAAACATTTACATATTACTTAAGAATAAATTTGTTTATATGTTGCCATAATTTGGCTAATAATAAAGACCAAACGCTATCTGGACTATTGATATTAGAAATCTTATTTGTACATGTATATTAGAATGTATCTAATATATAGAATGGGATTTGAATAGCCCAATACAAATAAATAGTAAATATTTTTTAGGATTAATTAAAAGGAAAAATGAATGAATTAATCTAACGAGAAAATAAGAATGTTTAAAAGTAGGTAATAGGTAAGAATATAAACCTATAAGAAAATGAAAAATAATTAATTTACACTTGTGGATTGATGGTTGACTGTAGTGAATTATTGAAGAGAAGAATGGTTGGGGCGATCAGTCAAAAAAATAAATAATTATTTATTTTTACTATTTTTTTTTACTGATCACCCCAACCATTCTTCTTTTTAATTAATACACAGTGTATAGTGAAACAAATTATGATACTAAAACACATTCATTCCATAGATTTCTACTATTTAAAACATACATACATTAAAAATGTGTGTATGATATTCAGTCAGTAAAAACTAGTATAATCATCAGATATAAAAGTTAGTCAGTCAAATGTTAACTACAACATAACAGAAATTCAACATTAAATATGGTCCATGTAGAAGGAAAAACACTTTATTCCTAAAATTCGCAAAATTTAAGTAAGTAATATCGACTAGGAGACAATTCTGAAAGTACGAAAGATGCGACAGAATCACAAGATAAGTGACATCAACGCCAGTTCCTCAGAAAGAAGCGTATGCTATTAAAATAATGTTTAATTGAATTTAATGAAATTATGATTTACAGTATGAACTCATTTGTATTTCTATGATAACATAATCGTAAAGTGATATTCAATAAAATATAAACAAATTAATAATAATAAATATAATTTTAGATCAAATTGAAGTTTTAACATAGGAATTCTTATACCATAGGAAGACTAGGTAACTTTTTTGCTGTTGTGTTTCTTTGAGTTCTCATTTTACTAAGTATGGCAATCATGGTCACAGGTGGATCTACGGGTAGGGCTTTCGGGCTGAAGCCCCTTCCCCCCAAAATGGTAAAATATAACCATGTTTTACAGAAAAACATATTAAAAACTATCTCTTAAAGTATTCTTGTTCGTTTAATTGCATTTAATAGGACTTCAGGAACCACTTAAATACCATTTCATATAGGTAGTTAATTTCTTTCTTTTTTTTTTCAAATTAATTATCGTTATATGTATAAGAGGAAAAAAAATCTTTCGGGCTGAAGCCCCCCCCCCCAAAATTAAATCCTGGATCCGCTAGTGATCATGGTATTAGACCACGTGACTTGGGTGTTAGGCAGAAAACTGTTTGTTTACTTTATTTTCCAATTTAGGTAGAAAGACAATAACACGTAGAGTCGGAAATGCGAGTGGGACCACATTTGCTTACGACCCACGTCCCGCGGATATATGACAATCTGCTCTGATTCGCTGTTTCCTGTGAGGTCGTATGGCCGTGCGCCGCCGATTATCGCCCGGAGCCCTAGCACTTCCTGGTCAAAGAGAGGTTGAGAAAAGGATATGGTACTCACCGAGTTCGGCGTAGCACAGCGCGCCGATGAGGGAGAGGATGCCCGAGGAGACCCAGATGATGAGGCCGAAGCCGACGCTGCCTGCGTTCTCGAGGACGCCCTTCGGGGACACGAAGATGCCGCTGCCGATGATGACACCGACGATGATGCCGACCCCATCCACCAAACCGAGCTCCTTCTTGAGCTTTATGGAAGAGCCGGAGGGGCTCTGCCCCGCACTGGACATCGCGGAGATCTAACTGCCGCTTCCTGTCCCACGCTCCCCCCACTCCCATCCCCTCCACCCTTCCTCCCGCCGCTCTCCTCGTCTGCAATAACCCCTCAATTGCTCATGCAGTGCGACGGGGGCTCCCGAATCTCGTATCCAGTGGCGTAAGTATGAATTAAGTGTTCCCTGGCTGCCGAGTTCTGAGACCCCTTAAACTTGTCATTAAAATTTGAAGATGTGGCCAAGGAGGTATTCAACTCAAAAATATTTGTCCTAAATGGAAAGGGAGGAGGGCATTTTTTATGATAAACTTGAATTTTGGGTCCCGGAATATTTGACGAACAGGCTCTGCTCCGTTAGGGGCACTCGACTAGAGTATGAAGTGGGGTCCCATTAACAAGACAATATATTTTATGTAAGAGTGATTTCCAGGGATTTAACTATGTAATAAACTATACAAAACTGTAAATTTAATTGTTTTTGGAGTCCAATATACCACAGTACTAGATAAATACGAAATAACGATCCAGGATTTAATTTTGGGGAGGGCTTCAGCCCAAAAGCTTTTTTTTTTCATAAAAATAACGATAATTACTTTGGAAAATAAGAAAGAAATTAACTACCTATATGAACTGGTGTTTAAGTGATTCCTAAAGCCCTTTTAAATGTAATTACACGAATAATTATACTTTAAGAGACAACGTTTTAATATTTGTTTCGATAAAACATGGTTATATTTTACCATTTGGGAGAGAGAGCGCTTCAACCCGAAAGCCCTCCCCCCCCCCCCCGTAGATCCGCCCGTGATTAGGGGCCTTTAGAAAAGGCTATTCTAAGAATTTTCGTAGGTAAAAAAATTGTGGGTTACTATGAGATGAAGCTATTCCCGAAGTTTTAAGCGGATGTTAATAACTTGATAAAAAAAAGTGTCTGCCCGACGCACAGTGGTGCAGGCGTAAAAACACTACATTGACTTGATTCGATGGATTTTAAATACTTTTTTTCTTCAAATTTTTAGAAAAAAATTAAAAGTTTATATTTATTAAGAAAATTTCACTTAATTCCCTTGGAAACATGCGATTTACGTCAAATAATGTTAATTTTCTGAAATTATTATTTATATTTATTTCCTCACTCTCCGTTATTTTCGACAACTTTATTTATTTGATATTATATTCTGCGCTTTCCAATGATGTAGTACACCATCTGACTGTTATTTCCAGAGATTCATTTTCAATCTGGATAAGCATTTTTATTTTTTTTCTCCAGTCTCGAATTATCATATTCTTTCAAAATTCATATTTAGCTATTTTTATAGTTACTGTCAATGAAATAGGGTTAATTTTTTTTAAATAAACCATATTAGAAGTACTTTAGAGAAATACGTATATGAACATTGGGCATTTAAGCCCTGTAAAGTGACATCAATGAGGATAAGAAATAAATTATATTAAAGACCACTTAATTATACAGTGATACACCGAGTTTAATCTAAATCGTTAGAGACGATTTTCAAAAATTTGTAAAAATGTATTTCAATGTTGATTTAAAGTACCACTTCCGGTAAGCCGATTTCAAGGAAAAAGTTGCTGTCACATCTAAGGCATACACCTATTTTTTTATTTTTTTTATTTCTTAATGACATTTACAACTGTATTACATAAATACATCAAGTAAATTTGGACATAATAGATATAATGACATGAATACACTTGCTGAGTAACTACCCAATGGTAGCACTCTAATGATATGACTACATTAGGAGATCACGGGGCCATCTTCTTTTCAGACGCCTCGGAGGGTTATCAGGAATTGAAGAGGAAGCAAGATTAGAAACGAGAGGGTTGGGATGATTCTGAAGTTTATTATGGAAGGATAGGTATCTGGATTGGGCCAGATCTGAATACACGTATTTTAAATACGTAATATCAGTTTCGTTTCTTAGCTAGGCTGTCCACATACACACACACACACACACACACACACACACACACAGGCAATGATACCATTTGGCGGGACTTGGTTATTTGGACTCAGGGTACCTGAAAACATGTATTTCCGTTGAAAAACAAACAAATTTCTATTAAAGCTCTCAGTGGAGATGTAATACGAAAATACAGATTACTTATGAAATGTGGCAAGTTTATTTCATATAAATTATCTGATTCAAATCAAACACGATTAATACTGACTTGGAAGTACGAAAGAGCTAAGAAATATTTGATAAAAGAGAATATCTACTTTTTTCTTTTTCTGGGAAGTTGTCTATTTATTTTTAGTTATTTGGCAATAATAACTTCCAATCGGTAACAATTGAGTATATTTCTATTATCAACGTTACATGTTAACAAGTTAGTTGACGTTTCCACGATTGTTACCAATTGGAAGTTATTATTGCCAAATAACTAAAAAAGAATATCTGCATTCCTCATGATTAACAGAGTCACTTGTGACCAGGAAAAATGACTTTATTATATCAAGACGTATATGATTACAAAATCGTCTTTTAAATGATAATTAAATAAACAAAAAAAAATCTAAAGAAAACGTCGTGCAATGCGAGGTGTGCTAATTTCTATAGATTCATACTTCCCCCTCCCCTAAAGTGATAACATTGATATAAATTTTTGTATTTTGATTCTACCATTATTTTTATTTATAATTGATAATCTTGATCTAGTCTTTCAAACAAAAATAAAAAAGGCTGATGCTACTTCAAATTTTTGTACCAATAATTAAGACTCTTTCTCTACTAAACATGACTGCCAAGTAAGGTCAATATAGCTTCTTCACCGTTTGCATTGGCTAAAAAATATCTTTAATACAATATTTATTTATAATAAACAATAAAATATTTCGCGTGAGAATAAAATCTTTGGAAAAAGCCGTTTTCGGAAATTCAGTAATCCCTCAACAAATACGGGTTTTGTTCATCAGCGAATACTGAGATGCGAAAAAGATCCGCATAAGTAGATTGCATATTTGCTGATTTGGGATTAAAAAAAAAATCTAGTGCGTTCTGAACACGAATATCACTACTGTTAGTGCAAAAGGTCGTATGTAAACATTGAGTATTTTACAGGAAAGCACAAAAACTAATTGTTTTGTTATGATTTATTAATATAACTTCATAATTTATTGCCCACTGCTATTTTTCACCGTAGCAGAATGATTATATCAGTTGCAGAATATAAAATTTCACCTTTAGCACAAATAGAATTAAAAGTTGAAAATGTTTACATACAACTTTTGGCACTAATAGAAGTAATATGAAATTTATCGGCATGTTTTTATTCCAAACATGGATGGTACAAAATATCCACAAAGAAAACTAAACTTTTTGTTGTTTCAGATATAACGAGACCAGTACTTTTCTTCAGTCAGAACAAAACTATTTAAGCTGGAATTTAAAAATATATGTAAAAATCACACAGAAACTCGATACCACGACGAGCTGGTTGAACTTCAATAGAAATAAACACAATCACAAATAAGATTATTCTTTTTTACAAACTCAGAGTAAAAATTAATTTAAATTTATTGAAAATTACACGAAATATAATTAACGGCAGTAAGTATCATGCCAGTAACGTTTGAAACCGACAGTATAAATTAACTCTTTGAATAAAACCTAAAATTTTATAACCTCATAAAAATATCGTCTTAACCTTCTATATACTTCTACTCCATATGATCAGTGCTTTCACATTTCACTGCCATTATATTGTTGACAATTATTTATATTAATTTTAATTATTAAATAGAATTCAATGAAATTCACATATTAGGAAATTTCTATACTATTCTCCAAATTTCCTCCAAGTTTGGGTCAAATTGAACGCGCAGTTTTCAAATTATAGACTTGCCATATAATACGTTTACTGATCCGAAAGCATAATTTTTTTTTAGGAGTAGTGGATAGAAATTGATAAAATTCATACCTACTTGATTTTGTTTATCAACCACTAATTTTCCTCCAAATTTGAGCAAAATTGAACAAGCTGTTTTTAGAGATAGAGACGTATCAAGAAAAACACGTTTGCGCATTTATAAGAGAAATTAATGGACAGAATTTAATACAATTGGCATTACGTTATTTTTTTACCATTATCTACCTTTTATCCAGCTTTGAGCCAAATCAAACTAGCCCTTTTTGAAATATTGGCATATCCAAAAAAGGACGTTTGCGCATGCGTAAGCGGAAGTGCTGGATGGAATTTGAAAAAATTGATATGTGACCATCTAGGCACCAACCCGCACAATCCATGAAAATCGGACGAAAGGAACTAGGTGATATGCCTGTCACATCGATTTGACTACAGACAGACAGACCCGAACCAAATTTAATCCATGATGTCTGAAACGTAAAACGCGAGTGGAAATTTTCTTTTAATCTCTCGCACGAACACAATGCTTCCCTACCTTCGGTAGTGAGGAAGCAAAAAAAAAAAAAAAAAAAAAAAATGCTGATAATACAAAACATATGTTGTATTTTTGTAACGTTATTTTTATAATAATTTCAACTTATAAATAAAAAAGGCTGTTGCTAATTGTATTTTTTTTTTAATAGTAGTAATTTATTATCTTCATCTTATTATTCTAAAATAAAAAAATGTATTTGAATGGCTATTTATAAGTTCCTATTTATGGAGCATCCTATTGCATAATAGATCATATCGCCTTACCCCTAGACCATAAAAAAATTATTAAATTCAAGCTAGCTTTCATTACCAAGATGATATTGTCACTACCACGCTTTTAAAAATTTAAATTTTAAGTTTACCGAGCAAAACATACTTTTGATCTTGGCCATTTGCTCAGAATAACAACTGAAGAGTAATAGAAGGTGTAGGTATTTTGGAATATCGTATTTAAATTTCGTGAAAATTATTAAAATTTTAATTTGTAATTTGTAATTTGTAATCTGAGCATGACCCATACACTTTTTAAGTTAGAGTTCCAGTGGGTATTTTATTAAAAAGTGTTTTTATTGTATTCCTAAAAACATTTTTTTAGGTCTACT